GCAACCCTCCCAAACCAAAGCTCTGATCATTTTGAGTGTAATGAATAACCTACAATACAAGTTTCTCTTGAAGTCCATATGGGTTTGCTGAGCACAAGTTATGTCACCAGTCTTGACCACTCCTGTCTGAGCAGACATCACATCCAGCCATGGATTAAAGAACTGGGGAGTCAAAAAGCAGTGAGTATCAATCTACGGTCTGTCTTTTGGGTGCACAGAAATGATCAAAAAGCAAAACTACCATGGTGCGGATATTAAGAATGAATCACAGGGCAAAGCATCCCCGCAAAAAATGTGTATCAAAACAGCAAGGACCAGACTCGGAGAGCTAGCACAGTTTGGGAAAGTAATTTTTGTCCAAGTCTCACAGACAACTCAGTCCTAATTTCCAGTATGCAAAATCCCCTGGTGTAACTCAGACAAACACAGGAAAACCTCACTGTGCACATCATCCTATGGATCATTAAGCACATGATGTTCCCCTATGAAATAACAGAGCTTTGCTTCACTCATCATTGAAGACTTCCTAAGTATTATAAATTAATATTATTTTTAAAGAAATTTCAAGTCTCACTGGTTTTTCCATCTGTGTGCTATGCATTATGTGACCCATGAACTCCAAGACATTATTTAGAATCAGATATTTCATTAGGAAGCACTGTTGTGGTGTTCATCCCCCTCTTTATTACTTCTAGAAAGAGAATATGAAATTAGTTTCATTGGACTGCCATCGCCACTTGCCTTGACCCATTTTTACGAGGGCTCCATGTTCTGCTCTTTTGTATTTCATTGTCATGTCTAAAATACTCGTTCCCTTCTATCTCTCACAAAATTGTAAAATTAGTATTTCATTAACTTCTGTGCTATGTTATTTTCTGCATATTTAGAGAGATTACAATGTTTGCAATGAACACACAATACAGAAGAGCTTTCCTAGACCTTTTTACTATGCCCTCTTCTATTTACTAATGTTCCTCCACGATTTATGATCTAACAATTACATATTGCCAGATTTTTCTAAATCAAAGCTTCTGAGAAATAAAAGGGAGGGATGTCATTTTTAAAAAGTGACAAAAGTAACAGTGTATCAGAAAGCAAAATTTGATTGCTCTTAAATACATATACCTACTAGCTTCAGATCTACTTGTCAGCTTAGAGAAAATGAGAGGCAAGGTTCCCACATTCTCTGAACAGAAGGTCCTTTGCTGCAGTGGTGGCTCATTACTCCAGAGAACCGTCTTACCCACCCGGACACTCCAGAGACAACAGCCTGATTCATGGCCTTCCCAATGGAATCAGGTTTCTCTGCCCCAGCAATTAACAATGAATTAGCACTATATTAAAGTGCCAGGCAAGATGGTTACTCTCTGGAGTGGTCACCTTGGACACAACAGACAAACAGTGGGAGAAGGGAGAGAAATTAGATTTACTGTGTCCCAGCATGTCTGTAACAAACACGGAATCCCTGGCTGGCAGTGGGAAGCAGCTGTAGGCACTTGTCAGCATTAACACTCCAGAAAGGTCCAGTGCCAGCAAACAGCCAGGGAATGGTGGGATTTAGCAAGGGATGGAAAGCAAGACAGGGAAGGAAGGCTCACCTCTGCAGAACAGGGAGCTAAACACAGAAGCACGAGAACTGTTTGCTGCAAAGGGACTACTTTGCACACTGCTAAGGGCCACAGGCCAGACCAGATTAAAGGGCCAGCCAGGATCCCACTCCTGGTGGTAGTGAAGGGAGAGGATGAGAACACAGCAAAAATGTAATAATGCTTTCCAGGATACCCTCCCACCCTCCAGGAACCTGTGGCTCAGGCACTGTGTAATTCAGAGGTGGTGCCCCAGCTAGCAACAACCTCACTGCTCTTTTTCCTACCAGCACTTTGCTATTACACCACACTGCATGGAATGGAGGGAGAGCCTCTTAATGGACACCTCAATTTCCTTAAAAACCAAAAGAGAGGCTGTGGCAAGCTCAGCCTGCATGCACAGCAACATGTAGGTGTAGCATGGATGCCATAACCAGCGTGTGAAGGAAAATCCACACTCTGACACGTCCCTGTGGCCACACCCAGAGCTGCCAGAGAACACAGCCATGTCACAGAGCTCCACAGGGCTCACATTTTATGACTCTTCAGCACAATAACAAACAAATCAAGTATACAGGGAAGAATTTTTTAAACACTCAGCTTCCATTATAGACATTACTCATTTCAGAAACAGTAAAATAATTGATTAAATGGATTAATATATGGCTGATGGAAAAAAATCTAATGGAAGAGAGAAAAACAAACATGTTTGGTTTTAAAACCCTGAACCTAAAGCTAAACAGTGAGGTGCAGGTTAGTAATACCAAACCAGTGAGAGCAAGAATCTCTCACAAAGGAAACAACAATCCCTTAAAACATGAAGAACCAGCCTGTGTCCAGCTGATCTCCTGCAGCACAACTGCCCCACTGGGCACACCCTGCCTTACAGAACACAGAAACCATACCCAGCCTTGGGGTAATTCCCTCACTTGAAGTGTCCCCAACCCTGTAAGCAGCAAGTGAACTACACAAAACACATCACAATGATATCTTTGCCATTTCCAAGAAGCCATACTGACGAAAAGGCTGCAATACAGCCACATCTTTTGCCCAGTCATGCCTCTTGCGATTATAGCTAGGATATTCTTTCAAGTCTGACAGGGAGATGTCCCCAGCCCAGACAGGGTTAAGTCAGGGTGGCTGGTAAGTCTGGCAGCGGTGTGGGACAGCCTGTTTTCAGGCTCTCCCAGTCTCTCAGCTGAAGGAGCAGGAGACTCAAGCATCAGAGAGAAGTTACCATACACACACCTAAGCCATCAGAGGAAAGAGAAAGATGGGCTGGGCAGAGAGAGAGAACAGAGGTAAGATCCTGCCTGCTTCTATGTTACAGGTCTGCACCTGCTGTTATTCACAGCACTGCTGCTTGTATCTTCTTCAAAGGGCTGTCATTTTGCTATCAAGGCTGCAGGTAAGGGCTTGACTTGCAACACACTTCTCACCAGCAAACCTGCAAAGCTAAGTAGGTCAGTGACTGCAGCTCTTGATGTTTTCACCCCTGCTAAAATGCAGCCAGGCACTGTGGCAGATATTCTGCACCCGCCACTGCCTTGAGAAGGAAATGAGAGTTGCTTTCCCACTTGACACTACAGGGGGAATTTCAGATAGGCAGAATGTAATTACTTGGCCTGGAGTTCAGCCAGGAGCAGGGCCCAAGACCCCTACCCTTATGTAAAGTGTCACAAAATCTCCAATGACTGCAGTGTGAGGACCTCAGCTTTACATCTCTGGCTGCTGTCATTGGTTCTTCATGGCTAATTACCTAATAGTGACCCTTGCAGCAAAGCTAAAAAACAAACCTTGCTTCTTGAAACAATTCAAGTCCCAGAGACTGAAAACTATGCAAAAATTACTTAGTGTTGGGTATCTTTTGACAGTAGGGAGCAGATGGACAGCAGACCTCCTGTGCCTGGCGCTGGTAGCATGTCACTCAGAAACCTACTGGGGTTTTTGGATGGGCAAGCATAGCTTTAAAATGCAGCACCCCCAAAACACAAGCCTACTGTATCAACTGCATGCCAGTCTCCAGAGTTTTGTTGTATGAAGTTGCCAGCTGGTTCTATTTATTTTTCTTCATTTTTCATATTTTGACTGTAATAAATAATTAATCCATGGCTTTGTAACTTGCTGACAAATACAAATGCACAGCATTCCAACACAGTGTAACATGTCACTCACAAGAGCCAACCTGCATGATGCAGAAAAGTGATGTGCAGAAGGCTTTGGAAAGTAGGCTACTCATCAAGGTCAATCACAAGATCCCAGGGAAACTTCTTCTGTCCCTTCTGATTCCCGTACTGTGGGAATCAGAACTGGTTTAATATGTTTTAGTCTATAGAGGTCTAGTTGTCTTCCCACATGTTAGCTTGGCCCTTTCTTTACCTGTTTGTGGCTTCTTGCTTCCAAGATCCCATAAACTTTTTGGGATGTGGAATACAAAACTTGCTAAATTAATTACCTAGAGTGCTTCCCCTTCTTTACACCCCTGAGAACCTGAACCCAAGGAAACAGGTTTTTTTTTTCTTTTAGGCAAAGACACAAAGGAAAGCAAGGAGAAAGAAGTTAGCAGAAGAGACAAAAGGGACTGAATTAGGCATTACTTAATCTGAGTGAGACCTAGATGTTTCAGATGGGCAGGACAAGACAAACCTCTTGCCTTTAGAAAAAAGGGGGCGAGATAGCTGGCAGCAGTGGTAGCAGCGTAAGAGCAGCAACAAAGAATAGAGGCTGAATGCCAAGGTTCACAGCAAGAGTAGCAAAGCAGTGCAATCCACCATCAAACAATGGGGAGAGTGAAGGTGGGAGGAGGAACTGCAAGATCATCAGAGAAATGCACAGTACAAACAACCCCCAGAGTGGTCACATAATCTAGCGGCAAGTGAATGGTACCGAGTGCCAGGGACTGAACTGGAGGGCTAAAGGGAAGAAGGGCTGCTGTGGAAGGTGTTGCCTCAGCTTTTTAGATTGAAGAAACGTCTCCTGAGCCTCTCTTGACCATCTGTGGATGTATGAGTTTGTGACATGCATTACTAGTTATTAGGAATACACATTATGCTGATTTTCTCTTCTAACTGAAGCTGGAACTGCGAAGAAGAGTCTGTAGTTTTTTCACTTGGTTTTCCATACACATATTTGTATTTATTTCTCATTCTACTAATACCTGACACAAGAATAGAACAAGGGTGTACAGCCAAAAAATTCACACTAGTCAGAAATGTATAGAGGAGTGAAACAATCCCAATGAGGCTGTGAAACGAAGGCCCATTCCTCACAAAATGCTCAGCATGGTCATTTCAGAAGTACTTCTGAGTTTCAGTCAATACATAAAAAGCCCATCTCCATGTTACACTCTTGAAACCCCCTGTGCTACCCCAGCCCTCCCACACAGACACCCTAAGGAGGCAGAAGTGCTCTGACCTGCACAGGCTCGGGCGTGAGCTGCACCACGTGCTGCATTCGCTCGCTGTGGTGGTGTCTGGACTCCTCCTCATAGATCACATCCCTCTCGTGCTGGGGAAGGTTCAGGAAGCGGCGAATGGTGCAGAGGTTCTCCCAGAGGGTGCGGTTTTCTGGGCTTGGGTTTTCTTTCCAGCGCAGCAGTTCACACAGCCAGCCCTGCAATGGTAGAGTCAGCACAGTCAATTCACCAGGCAACAAGGAACCAGACGTGAGCGGGAGGTCAGCTAGACTTAAAGCTCTGTGCTGAAAGTTTTGCTGGTCTCATCTCACACATAAACCCCCACCACCCCAAGCTGCCATTTGGTCTCAAATCCGTGATATAGTCTATTTCCTGCAAGTTGGAAAAACTGAAACAAGCAGCAGTGCTTAGCGAAAACCAGTGCCATGTCCTCATCAAATTCACACCATGTTCAAAATGCTCAGATATAAATATTTTTCCTACAGAAAAGCAAAGATGATGCATCTTCACTTCCATTTCAGAGCCCCTTCATTTCTTCATCCAAGCAAGAGAAAAGGAGACGTAACTCCTGAGACTTTCTAACAACCCTCACTGCAACTTGCAGCCACAGAACCAGAAATTCAACACTACTCCAAATGTCTAGTAGAATATAATATCAACACTTTTGATTTGCTGACACTATGTTGCATCGACTCCCCCAGTTCTGAACCCCACTAAAATTTTACATCTTTAAATAATAAAATCTAAGAGAAGATGCAGCCTTACATAAAGGGAACCCTCGAGCATCTAGCACACAAGCAGAAAACAGGGTCATGCAGAAGTTACTAAAGATACCAAAACACCAGGCAGAGGTAATTCTAAACCCAACTACAGATCGTAGTAAGGGCATATTTTATTTGTGCTGTCTTGTTTTAAGGTTAGTTTGAAATGCCTTTAAAAGGTTACTGCTATACGGAAGGAGCTGTAGGACCTCTCCAGAGGGACCGACTGCTCAGACCTCTGAGGTGAAAGCATCTGCACTCCGGGAAGAGGAAATGACCCTGAACCCCAAGGGCAAGGAGAGCCCAAGGGCAAGAGCTGTTGGGGTGAGGACAGCCCCGGGTGAGCAGAGCGTGACCCGGAGTCCCCAGCAGGTGAGCCAGGGATCGCGGCTGCTGCCGCTCCTGCGCGGTGTGGGGACACAGCCAGCCCCGTCCCGCCTGCCAGCAGCCGGCCCACTTGGGGCTGGGGACAGTGGCTCCCCTCCTGTGCCAGCACAGGAGACGCAATGCAAATGACAGAAGATGAGAAGATAATGCCGAGGATGCTGTCAACGCGCCTTACTGACTCCTGTCAAAATATTTTACCTAGTAGCTTTATAACCCATCATTTTCAAGCTACAGCTCAGCATTCTGACACCATTTTGACAGGCACCTTACAATACCTAAAAGATAGCTTGATCAATGTTAAAAATGTTTGGTAGAAGAAGTAGCCAAAATTGTGTTTCTCTGAACAGTGACCAGAGCAAGCTGAACAGCCGGGTTCATTACCAGCCCACAGGGGTGCTTTTTGGTATTGCTTTTTTGTGTAACAACTTGTAAGCCATTGACAACTTCTACCGTGCACTCTAAACCCCGTGTATAATATCATAAGCCGTTGTTTGTGTTACTCTCCACTGTGTCTTCTGCCTTCACCCCCCCAAAAAAGGCAAGATTTGATTATCTCCGCTGCATCAGCCAAGACAGCAACACCAGCTGTTCTCATTGTGCAGCCTCTTCCTCACGGCCTACATGTTAATAACCTGATCATTCCATTTTCTCCTTCAACTGCCGGCTGCAGCACAGCGAAGAGACAAAAACCCAGGCCCATCTGCAGCAGCTGTAGGCACTGAACTGTGAAGCCACCAGGGATTTATAAACTAATCTGTAACACAACACTGCCTTGTTTTTACAAGTGAGAGGCCACATTTGTGCAGACCTGATCTTTTCTTGCAATAAACTTGGAGGGCTGGGGGGTGGGGGGGCAAGGATGAAAACAAGATATATAATAATTTACTTAGGGGGAAAAAACCCTCTGTGTTGTATTTTCAAAGTGTTTTGATTGATATTTGGGCAATCTCTCAGTCAGGTGAAGTCTGCATTTTAATGTGGTTTGGCCACATCCCTTACCCTCAATTGTCCTCCTTCCACTGCTCAGAAATCCCCCAAAACTTTGTCTCTTTTAGAGAAAATATAGGAAGAAAATCTCCCAGCTCTGCAATGTTTTCTCAGGGATTCCTCCATATCAAGGAAATAATTTTTCAAATGGAAAATAAACCATCTGTAGAAAAAATCAATTCCTGTTGTTCCCTGTTTTCAGTGATTTGAGTAAGTCTCCAACTGAACTCTTTCAAGATGTTTCAAGCCTCCTTGTTTAACACCTCCTGGGGGATGCTGCAGCACGAAGACCCATCATGTAGCAGAAAATACAGAATAAGCCCTGCACCTGGTGGAGCTGGAGCCCATTGCTGGGCAGAGCTGTGGGAGGATGGGGTGCCTGGCTCTGGCAGAACCCAGCTCGGCAGGGCCACCTCCCCTTCGCAGGGCTGGACCGGGCAGCCCGACGGTGACTGCCGCGCTTTGATTTATCTGTCCCGTTATAATCAGCGCTCATTACAATCACTTAGAGCAACACTACAGGCCTCATTACGGACTAGGCACTCGCTGCCATTAGTCTTTAAGAAGGATAGCGCTCAATTTGCCTGGCAACATGCGAGGTCCTGACCTTGGAGCTATTAGGGAAAAGATTAGACTGCAGTGTGACCATGTGTGCAGACATGAGCAAACCAAATTAATTTCTGGCAAAGGGAGGCACCAGGCAAGGACCCCACCATCCCGAGGACACCTGAGAACTTCTCCATTCCCCAAAGGAGATAAGCTAATGGCACGTTTAAAGGAGCCTGGTTCTGAAGGTGAAGCACATCCATGGTATTTAGAGAGATATTAATCCAGTTTCCCCACAAAGTATTTGCTTGGCTGATCAGATTAAGGGATCTAGCCTTCAACAGCACACCCCCACCACAGCAGGCCCCAAGAAATCTGTGATACTTCACAGCCTCAGACATATTGCACCATGTGTACCCAGCTGCTACAATAATTAGCTTATGAATGTATCAGCTGGTTCTGTGATTTTTATAAATAATAACTAACCTACGGAGCAGAAAGATTTCCACGAGCCTAATATTAGCAAGAAATTGCAAGGTGCGCCTAACTGAATTGTCATTGTGCTAAATGCCCTGTCTTCTCTCACGTTGTGCGAGACTGGATCTCCCCCAATGCCATTTATAAATATTTATTTTTGCAATGTATTTGTGTCAGCTTTCTTCACAAGAGCCATTATTCGCTCACCCCCACACATACACACGCATGCCCACTGCGTGCATGTGTACACTTATCTGCATCAACTCTGTCCTTTCACTACTTTTTTTCTATCCTTCCCTTTCTTTATTCAAGCATTCATTCAAGACCCTCTCCATCCATCTATGGGGCTGTTTATTAGGCAATAGCTTTGACTAATATGTGACAAAACACAGCGTGCCACAGCTTACTCACACGTTCTTTATGGCTGCAAGTAACCGCCTTCCCCATGCACAGATGAAAAGTCTGCATGGGCTTTTTAAAATTATTTATTTAAATAATCTTAGCACGCCATCCAAGAAAGTTTTGCAGTACCAGGCAAAAAAAAAAAAAAAAGTGTAAATGTCAAATAAAACAGTGACAGATGACAGTATTCTCTATTGAATAGCACCGTTTCTTCGTGCATGTTCAATGAGAACTCATGAATTATTAATACACAAAATCTCCTTTTACTGTTAAAAATCTCAACTTGGCGTTTTTTGGTTACGATTTTAAAATTTTGTTTTATTTATTTCTTCGGGGTCTGTGTATGTTACACAGAGCTTTCCAGGAGAATTATTCCATTTAAGAAATGCTAACATACAGAAACTTTTGGAGCTATTCACAGTAAATTTTCATCTATAGCTACATTTATTGGCATGAAGAAGGAAAAGTGAAGGAGACACTATCTCACCACCTTTTCCCCCACTCACCCACAGCATCTGAGCTCACTGCATTACAAGTAAATACAACTTCTGTGAACATATTCTGAAAAATCTAATAACACACCCCTCCCCAGACCTGTAATACACTGTGTTTCTGGTCCTGCCTCCTCTGCACATCACAGGTCTCGCTGCACCACACAAATAACCCCCTTGGCTGCCAGAGTTACCAGAGAGCTTGATACACACCAGTGTTAATATGGGTGGCAGAATCCCGCCCTTAATGTCAGCTTCTAAGGTTCTCAAATGGGAATGTCTTCCATTAAAAATAAGAGGAGGAAAAACAGCACAATAAAAGGATGCTTTTGGCTCTACATTCAGGCACACCCAAAGCTTGTGGTTACAAGGAATTCTGCTCAGAACTTCCTTCATTTCACCCCAAAACTTCTAGAGGCATCAAGAATGCGGCCAAATTTAGCTCATTAAAGAGAGCTGCAGAGAAGTGCTGGCCTCTGTTTTTGTTCTTCTCATGAGACAAGATAAGCATTTTCTAAGCATTTTGCTTGATTTAAAAAATAGTATCATATTAATGTCCTATTTTTAACCTCTCTGTCTTCCAATCAAACGTATTTCCACATAGCTAAGCAAACAACAACAAAAATCTGCAGAAAGCCAGCCTTTCCCAGTGTGCTTTTATGCTGTTAAAGAAAAAGCATGCTTAGAACTCCAAAGCATGAGGCTTGGCGCCCTCAGACCCTTCAAGGACAGCAATCCTGAGCCACATCTTTGTCACTTATCCCAGAGCCCTGTTTAGCAGCTTGACCCTTTCACTTCTGCTGGGCTTACCCTGGAGCAGGGCAGCCAGACATACCAGACTACAGGAAGGTCAGTTTTTCCAGCACTCAGTAGAGGTGTGCACAAACACAGTGACCCCCAAAACTGCTTCCTGCAGATCTGCTGCCCTGCAGCCTGTCAAGGATCACATTTCTGACCAAGGACAAAGAAGGCACATGGGAAGAGCTCAGGCTCACAGTCATGCTGGGGTACAGGCCCATGTTTACACTTTGCCAAAAGCCACTGCAGGAGGTGGCAGTTGGGTGTCCACGGTGACTTAGTCACAGGCAGCTGTTCTGCTTTGAGCATGGATAAACCTGCAGCTTAACTGACCTTGTGTTTCCCTGC